GGCAGCCGCAAATAGGTGGATTAGGGAATTCTACAGCTACTGAACATTTAAGAAGATTGCTAAATCAGCTGGGAGAAAAATCAGATAGAGTGACAGATAAGTCAGCAAAAATGGAAGAAGTGACACAGATGCTGGAAAGTGGAGCTACGCCAGACGAAGTGGCACATCACGGAAGATGGAAAACAGTACAGATAAGTTTCTTTCAGGGACCAAGTTTTTATAAAAAATATAAAAATATTCTTTAAAATAACTAGTTAATACATAGTAAACATATTACTAGTATAAGAACAAAATAAATACAAATTATAAGTTTAATAACAAAATTATAAACACTTTAAGCTTCTTACCCCCCCCCCATGCATAAAATTGTGGGTCTTTGTTTGAACAAATCAGCCTAATTATACATTTTTGAAGCGTAAACCTTTCGGTTCTATCTTAAAAAAACTATATTTTCAAAACTCTGAAAGAATGTTGGTTAAGAATGTAAATAATTTTGTTTATAATGATAAAAAGATTGCTAGACAAGTGTTGGATGTTATATAAACCTATCTGCAGGGGCGTAAGATATAGGAATTTGTCCGGAATACCCTTTTTTAACTGAATACCCTTCTAGAGTCCTTAGTTTTTACTTTATCCAGGGGGGGGGGGGCAGGGGCTCAACCCCTCTAGCCTTCCCCATTGTGCACGCCCCTCTGAAGCCTATAGGTTACATGTAAGAGAAATGATAGTATGTATGGAGTGTGAATAATCCTGGTAAATGGTAGTCGGATCAGGTGCCAATTAGATTCAGTTCTAGTCATGTTCAGTCTAGTATTTAGATCCGGGCTAGTCATGTTCAGTCGAAAGAGAATGTAAGGACATTATATAGTTACCCATAATTATAGTCTATCTACGGGTTTGTGTTATTACACGAACTACCACTTTGGATTTGGATATTAAATATGTCAAATCTGATGATAAAATTATATAAGATGCACGCGCTTGGGACTGAACATGACTAGGTGTTAATAGGGTCTCTAGGTCCACTTTATTTTCCGAAGAATTAAAGCTTTGGGTAGGTTGCCAGCATACTCCCAGTTCACATGTATCATGTCATTCATTATCCACCCAACCATTCATCAATCCCACCACTCACAGGACATGTTTATACTGATTACAGCTTAATTACAAAATGGCCGCATCAGAAACCTACGCGGCATTTATTTATTAAAGTGCGCAAATGAAAAGAATAGTTATTATAAAACAAGTTTCGTTAGCTACAAAATAATACATAATTTGTGTCCATCAATTTCTAAAAAATTTTAAGCGTTCAAGCGATCGTTTTCTTCTTGAAAGAATGAATAGTCGACACCGCAAATTTGAGGCAAATCGGCCGAGGGGTTCAAGAGGTTTGATCAGACATTAAAATTATAGAAATGCTATCTGTATGGTGGAATCCATAAAACTCTGGAATCTTAATTTCATTTGATGATATTATGAAGCAAACAGCTTTCCAGTGGTTGAGAACTAACTTATTAAGTGAAATTGGTCTGTGTATACTGCACAATGTTTCATGTTCATCGGACTATTAAAATCAGAACTTGAGTCTTGTTGTCTCGCGAGAATATTCCTAGAAGGAACTAGTTCATTTGGTGTACTGTCCCGTTTTGTCAGAGCCCAAAACTTAAGACAGGGTATCGTTATAAAAACCAGTTTTAAAACCCGGGTTTCACGAGTGGGGTTAGGCAGTTTTGTGAATATTGATATTTTTGTAATGAAATATTATGTTCTTTAGTTTGTTTATAGTCTTAATTTTTTTTCGAATCTCTTAAATCAAAATCTACACAAATGTTAAGACCCCAAAAGGAAACTCGGGAGTTTCGTTCAACAAAACTCTTTTAAATTTCGGGCTCAGGTATAATCTGTATATGTACTGTACAGCTCGCTCTAGCTGGTTAGATGTCGGCCCGGTTCTCCCACTGTACATATATACAGTGAGAACCAGAAAACTGTGGATCAAAAAAGATTTTAGACTCAAGTCCTTATTTTGAATAGTCCTCCATTGAACACGAGACAGAGCAATTGGGTAGTGTACACTGTACAAAGACCATTTCACTTTAGTACTGTTATTTAAACTACTAAATAGTGAAACTATCATTCAAACTTAAACATCCCTTTTACCTTGTCTTCCTTCAGTAAGAACCAGAAACCAGGAATAGGAAGACGACTTTACAGTGAAACTTAAGTGCATTTCATGTAGTTACAAAGCAAATAGTTTTACTCAGTTGTCTAGTGAATTGGATCTGGTAACACTGCACAATTGATGTGTCTCATGTTCATTGGACTATTTAGCGTTTAAAAGTCGTCTTCTTATTCCAGGGTTTTCTGGTTCTGACTGTATTCCACAATTTTCTGATTTTCACTGTATATAAAGAAATATATTGTCAAGTTTGCGACCAATATTTATGGTTCTAAACTGTAGTACACACTACACACTACACACCAGCAGTCTTACCATTGCCAAATACTCTTAAACAGTATTTTACCACACTTAACATACACACACTTTGCCAGACAAACACAAACACTAGTTTCCTCAATATGGAATGTTGTCTGATTCCTTTTTTCAAAGATACAACTCAAGCAAATTTTGAGTGATGCCATATTAAATGCACAGCAAAGTTTAAAAGGAATTAAACAAACAAAACTTTTTCTAGTTTATTCATAAAGTTTAAAATATCTAAGGTTTAAGTCATTGGGTTGCAAAGATATAAGTATTCAAAAATTACGTATGTGTGTGTTTAACACCTGTTTGACATCACTCAATAGTTTGTGGCAAAGACTCAATTCCTTTAAAATATTAAAAGTTTCACTATCAGTTTGCATGAATTAGGATATGATATTATACATATGGAAGAAGTTTGGTTTTAAGTGCTGCGGTTACTTTCTATCAAGGTACATTCTATTGTCAGCTTTCTTTGTAACAAAAGTCATTTTTTTAATTTTTACGATGTTTTTTTTGAGGTTAAATAGTTGTATTCCAATTAAATAACGCGAAAGAATACAATTTTTGTAATCTATATAATAAAACAAGACATTCGTATATATATATGTTGCGTATAGCTGGCCAAACGGCTGAACTGATTGGGCTGAAATTTTTTGTGTATACTCATGGGTGGTCGAAGGGTGTTATAGGCCTAAAAAATTTGACATTTTTTAAGAAAAAATTCTTTTGCATTTTTTTGGGCATTTTTTCAAATTTTTTTTCAAATGTTTTTTCCACGGGCAACGCCGGGCCCTTCAGCTAGTTATCTATAAATATAAAGTTGTAATCTCTGTTTGTCCCATCATAACTCAGGAACCCCAGGACCGATTTACCTCAAATTAAGATTGGGGAACTTGGAAGAGCCATGGGAACGTTTATAGTTTTGAGATTCTAAATTGAGTGAGTCGACTTTAATAGCGAAAGTTTAGTTTCCCATGTAAAATCGTTCAAGTGCGGGTAAACGGCCGAAGTCTTTGCGGGGAAAATGTTGTGGCTTATGGGATGGCCTTCCCCTGCTTGCCAGCGCCGGGTTCCCAAGCTAGTTTGTTAATATTAAACAATAAAACAGTTACATTTTCTGTAATTGTACCACTTAACAAGTTATAAAAAATACCCAGTCATGCGAAAAATTTTCAAATGTTAGAATTCTAAAGGAAATAAATTTGTTCTTAAAAAAACATAAAAAACGATAACCTGCAACATACGCTAATTTTCTTATTTCTTTTTCTTTGAAACCTATTGTAGTAGATCTTTAGCATTCTTGTCTTGTCTTGTCTTGTCTCGTCTTGTCTTGTCTCGTCTTGTCTTGTCAGTGTACCAAAAATACTGAAAAGTAATGAAGCGTGTCCCCTGTTATTGTTGTTTCCAAGTAACTTTCAGAACATCCAGAGCAAAACATGAAGGATTGAAAGATATAGAAAATCTAAAAACAAAATGTAAGAAATATAAACTTAAAAATCAGACTGCAGTCAGACAAGCTTAGAAGAGGATGTACACAAATTCTCTTATAGAAACTGTAAGCATAATTTCTAGTGACCCTCTCGCGGGCAGCCGTTGTACATTTGAATTTCCGAGACGGATCAACCTTTCCGGTCCCAGTTTGTACTGTACCTAGCAGCTAGCTCTATGGACAGGACTAGCCTGTGCAACAAGATTGACGCGGTTAGACTTTACGCTTCATATAGGCTGAATTTACTTTTACTAATTAGGACAGATTTGCGTGCTCTATGCAAAGATGGCAATGTCCGATTCACAAAGTATCCTTTAAACCATTATCTGATCAATAATGTAGAAGATATTGTCGTTTTTTCCAGTTTGAAAGGTTTTACTTTTGTAGAGAAACCCCTATTAAACACTTTCGGTTTTCTAAATATAAACATAGATATCTATTTCATGGTTGATTAGATACAGCTTTTTATGGTATCATTGTGAATCGGGCATTGCCATCTTTGCATTGCACTGTGATTTAAAGGTTGCAAGCTCTCAAGCAAAAATCGATGAGAATTTTGCCATTTACTTTGTAAGAAACGAAGCAAACATTAAGTGCTTTAAAGTGCTAAAATGTACATGTAAAGGGCTACAGAAAAGCATACGCGAGTTAGAACGGTAAAATAAAAGTAAATTCCGTCTTAATAAATGACGAGACTTTTCAAAAGCAGATTGAGTCTATGTGATTTATCTACTTTAAATTACTCTTAAATTTAACGTTTAATGATCAGATGGCTTTTATCAATTGCAATTTTAGAAGTTGTATCTTATATGCTTCCAGAATGGTTTGTCTAGTTCACGATACCCTTTGAACTTAAGCAATTCATGATGCAGAAATATTGAAGGAAATTATCAGAGTTCAACTTGCTTTTTTAGTATAAGAAACACGATATATTCTTTGTGAATTAGACACGACACTCTTTATGTGAAAGGCTATTAGAAATTACGAAAAAAGTTCTTTAAATGTTTCCTTCATTAAGTGTAAAAATATGATATGCAAATTTTATTCAAATGTTAACATACAAATACATAAATATGGATAAATTAATAATTGTACGACTCGCCAATATGGCTAAAAGAAAGGTTTAAGTTTATTACTTTAATTACAAAATTTTCTGAAATTCCTTGGTTTATTTTATAATCAGTCTACTTGTCTTATTTGCAGTTTTAGATTAATAAAAGGACATTTTCTATTTTTGGTGTTTTGTACAAAATTTATATTGAAAACATATGTGTCTTATTCCTTATGTTCATGACTTATTCATTAAATTTATTGACAACAAAAGTATATGTGAGCACAGTACAGTACAACACTGAACAACAAAGAACTACTGTACACTGTACACTTTACAAGGTAACAAGGTTGTTGTACATGGAAGATTAAAGCGTGATGTCATTTTTTTCATTTCTAAAATTTTTGTCATTTCCACAAGATTTTTTCCCCGGAAAGTTTTGTGAAAGGAATCGATTCTATGTCACAAACTCTGATTTTCTAATTCCTATATCGTTGCCAACCAATGTCGAAAACCTTTGATTTTTGAAACTATGAATTTTTCTAGATAAAATAATCTAAGTTTGAAATATTAAACGTTTACACCATCAGGTTACAAAGATATAAGGATTAGAAAATTAGAGTTTGTGGCAAATACTTAAGTAAACAACAGATGATGGATTTGTTTATAATTCAGTCCGCTTGGCGTAAATTCCGTCATCTACGCGGAAAACTCCGGAAGTGGTTTGACCCTTCCGCTCTTATACACAGAGGTGATGGCTTCACAGACAAACCGATATTGGCTGAACAAAAAAATTATTAAATTATATTATATAATTGAAACAACATATATCAGAAACATTTGATATTTGTTGTTGTGTACGGTATGGGTATCGTTTTTTTTTTACTATTTAGAGGATGCTTATCCTATCTATTCTCGATAAGTTTGCTTCTATTTCATTTGCCAAATTTTTCTCTGACAACAGATATCAACTGATAAAATTTGATTAAAGTATTGGCGAATATTTGTAGTCAGAATTTTTTTTGCAAAATAAAATAAAATCAAATTTTTGATAAGTCCTCTGTATCAACTTGTGGTCTGTATCCTACTGTGAGTTTTACTCTGTATCACCCTGTAACCTACTCCAATTACTCGGTATCACCCTGTAACCTACTCCAATTACTCTGTATCAACCTGTAACCTTCTCCAAGTACTCTTTATCACCCTGTAACCTACTCCAAGTACTCTGTATCAACCTGCAACCTACTCCAAGTACTCTGAATCACCCTGTAACCTAGCCAAGTACTCTGTATCACCCTGTAACCTACTTCAAGTACTCTGTATCACCCTGTGACCTACTTTAAGTACTCTGTATCACCCTGTAACCTACTCCAAGTACTCTGTATCACCCTGTGACCTACTTCAAGTACTCTGTATCACCCTGTAACCTACTCCAAGTACTCTGTATCACCCTGTGACCTACTCCAAGTACTCTGTATCACCCTGTAACCTACTCCAAGTACTCTGTATCACCCTGTGACCTACTTCAAGTACTCTGTATCACCCTGTGACCTACTCCAAGTACTCTGTATCACCCTGTAACCTACTCCAAGTACTCTGTATCACCCTGTGACCTACTTCAAGTACTCTGTATCACCCTGTGACCTACTCCAAGTACTCTGTATCACCCTGTAACCTACTCCAAGTACTCTGTATCACCCTGTGACCTACTTCAAGTACTCTGTATCACCCTGTGACCTACTCCAAGTACTCTGTATCACCCTGTAACCTACTCCAAGTACTCTGTATCACCCTGTGACCTACTTCAAGTACTCTGTATCNATATAATTTAGAAAATGGAAAGAATATGAAAATTCAGCAATTTTAGGATAAAATATCATTTATAACTGAAATTCGGGAATTATTCTGTCTAAAAAGAGCATTTTTTTCAAAATTTTAATTAACTTATTCACAAAGCGGAATCAGTTAAAGCTGAAATATTTAATAAGTTTCATTGAACAGTAATTTTACTAGTTTTGAACTAATCTTTGCTTGTACAATGTACAGTGTACACTGTACGTACAGAATAAATGCATGTACACCATTAAGGAAAGACGATTTTTTCGCAAGTTGAAATTGCAACGGAAACCGATTTTTATGACTAACTGATATTGTACAGTGTAGAGTAGAGATTAAACTGTATTGGGTGAGAATACAGAATTAAGAACTGATATTGTACAGTGTAGAGATTAAACTGTATTGTGTGAGAATACAGAACTGATATTGTACAGTGTACAGATTAAACTGTATTGTGTGAGAATACAGAAGTGATATTGTACAGTGTAGAGATTAAACTGCATTGGCTGAGAATACAGAGTTAAGAACTGATATTGTACAGTGTACAGATTAAACTGTATTGGCTGAGAATACAGAGTTAAGAACTGATATTGTACATTGTAGAGATTAAACTGTATTGGGTGAGAATACAGAGTTAAGAACTGATATTGTACAGTGTACAGATTAAACTGTATTGGGTGAGTATACAGAGTTAAGAACTGATATTGTACAGTGTACAGATTAAACTGTATTGGGTGAGAATACAGAATTAAGAACTGATATTGTACAGTGTACAGATTAAACTGTATTAGGTGAGAATACAGAATTAAGAACTGATATTGTACATTGTAGAGATTAAACTGTATTGGGGGTGCCATGACAAACTCCTGAAAGACAAACTCCTGAAATTATGAAATTTTTCCTGAATGAAATATGATAAAATTCATAAACTTTAAGAGAAAAAATTCGCAAATATCCTATAAAAAATTCTTAATCTTTAGTAATTTGAATATGCTTCAAGCAGCAAAGTATTACAATGATCAGAATAACCAGCAAATTTATTATTATTTATTTTTTATTATTCAGGGTTAGGTTAGTTTAGACACTTTCTGGGCCGAGCGCTGCGGCTAGGACAGGCTAGGGGGCCGAGCGCTGTGGCCACATGGTCAATTATATCCATTTATTTATTATTATTTAGGGTTAGGTTAGGTTAAGACACTTTCTGGGCCGAGCGCTGCGGCTAGATTAAATATAAATTGTGAAACATTTTTTTAAATTTGATATTATGGAGTTTGTATTTCAGAAGTTTTTATTTTCAGGAGTTTGTCTCGTCAGGAGTTTGTCTTTCAGGAGTTTGTCTTTTCAGGAGTTTGTCTTTCAGGAGTTTGTCTTTCAGGAGTTTGTCATGGCGCCGTATTGGGTGAGTATACAGAATTAAGAAGTGATATTGTACAGTGTACAGATTAAACTGTATTGGGTGAGTATACAGAATTAAGAACTGATACTGTTCCGTGTCCATCTATCTTGATCTAGGTGTAATTGTCTACGAATCTATTTTAGACTTTTTAACATCAATCTATCTATTCACTTTTTGGACATGTCAATTAAATGTATCTTGGAGATATCCTCCCCTCTCCCTCCCACCCTCCCAGTATATTCCCTCCTGCACCTACCTTTTCCTTCGGAATTTACCAGAAACTGAGAAACAACAATAATAAGAAGTCGACTTATAAACTCAAGTTATGACTTTAATTAGTCCAATGAACATGAGGCACAGCAATTGTGCAGTGTAAACAGACCTATTTAACTTTTTAGTGATTTAAAAACTACCTAGTAAAGCTATTTGCTTGTAACAACATGAAATGCACTTCAGTATTGCTTTAATGTCGTCTTACTAATCTACATCTTTCTGGTCTACCCTGTAAGTGTACTGTTTTTTTTTAAAGATGGATGTAAACATTCTTGGAGCCCATATCTTGCCAACTTAACGGGCGTACATAAGACGTACTTTGTATGTCTCCGTACTCTACAGTGTTTGTCCGCCAGATGTCACCCAAATTATAGGTGTCAGCACATAATCTAATTTTAATGGGCTTTCCATTTGTTTTCGCCGAAAGCGGTCGTTTTTCCCCGTAAGTAAGTGAAGAAGTCATATGTTTGCAAAAAGTACGGATGGCAAGATTTGGGCTCAGAGCTCTTCAGGCCGAGCTTTGCTTATGTTTCTCCCAGAAACTGCAGCACACTTTTCATGTAAACAAAGATGTATGGAACCAAGGTTGAATGCAAGGAAAGTTAATTGCTGTCGCATATACTCTGAGAACATATTGAAACCAGTTCTCTCTGGGCGGAATTTGTAAACAAGAATAGATGCATCTACGTTCGTCTGTATTAAATTTTGATAATTTTGATAATTCACATAATAGTTTCCTATGATCAGAATATTTCATTGATTTTTTTTATGTGAAAGATGGATCCCATGTTAGGCTTTGACATCCGTCTTGTGTTTACATTAGCGCCCAGAGACAGTACACTGCAGTACAAAAGATGTGTACACTTCTGAAATAACTTTCCTTGCATTACATCCTTGTATGGAACGGTGATTACTTGATTCATGTAAGCTGGAAAGAGCGCAAATTTATCATGTAAAAAATTGCGCATATAAAAATAATATTTTCCATGGGGTCTTTAGGAAGTAGACAGAACCAGTTGTGTATAAAATATCTATATATAATAACAGTCTATGCTCATATATATTTCTTCTTCTTTTTTAATAAAATGTGAAGCTTAAAAACTGAAATATAAATATAAAGTATTCAAAACATAACTTGAAGTATTATTGTATCGACATTATGTTTCATGCTAGTCATTCTTCAGGATACATATATATATATCAGTGCTTAGGATCCATTTAATTTTGATGCGGATCCGCACTGGAAAAAATGGATCCGGATCTGGATCCAGGTCCAAGAACTTACAGAATTTCAAATCATTTTCTTCTTTTTTCTCTTGTTATTTTCATGCAAAAACTTGATGAACCATTCAGAGATAAGGGAATTTTTGATAATTTTTCTTTTTTTCAACAATTCAGATTAGGGTATTTTTTGTGGATCCGGATCGAGGAAGCAAAAATGTTGCCGTTCCACCAACGGATCTTAAAGGGTTTGTGGAAGTATTGATATATGCACTATGCAGCATCCAACCCTGTAAGCGAAGAATATTTAAGTTCGACCAAGGTTTATGCAATCCTAATATCTTTCCTATTCATCCCACTACCGATAAATGTATTTTTTACAATGATTGCAGGGATTCGGTTTGAGGAAATAGGCAAATTTGTAGCATAAGATAAAAAGATAAAAACTGAATGCTAAAAAATGAAGTTTTAAAAGAAGCACATGTACGAAAATCAAAGTGATGATCAAAGCTTGAACCTTGTCCTAGAAAAAATATGATGAAAGTTTAACCATTTTTTAATTTTTGACATTATATATAGTTTCAAATTCTATTAGAAATGATGCGCGAAGAATGAAATATTGAGTATCATGATTTAAGTAAAAGGAACGGTTGCTGGAACTATGGAGGGGGGGAGGGGGTAAGGGTGACATATTGAGTATCGTGGTTTTAGTAAAAGGAACATAAGGGTGACATCTTGAGTATCGTGGTTAAGTAAGAGGAACGGTTGTTAGAACTATGCCAGAAGTGGGTTTTAGACAAGAACTGAAATAAATTAACTTCAGAGAAAAAGTGTTAAAGAGGGAGTCACAGAACTTGGTCGGAGCTGACACATGGATACAAGGATACAGGGATGCAGAAATACAGGGATACAGAGATACAGGGATACAAGGATACCGAGATACAGCGATACAGGGATACCTAGATACCGATATACAGGGATACAAGGATATAGGAATACAGGGATACAGGAATACAAGGATACAGGAATACAGGGATACAGGGATACAGGAATACAGGGAAACATAGATACAGGATACAGAGATACAGGAATACAGAGATACAGGGATACAGGAATACAGAGATACCTATATACATGGATACAAGGATATAGGAATACCGAGATACTGGGATATTTAGATACCGAGATACAGGGATACAAGGATACAGGAAAACAGGGATACAGGAATTCAGGGATACAGAAATACAGAGATACAGAGATACAGGGATACAGGGATACAGGAATACAGGGATACAGGAATACAGAGATAACTAAATACATGGATACAAGGATACCAAAATACAGGGATACAGGAATACAGAGATAACTAAATACATGGATACAAGGATACCAAAATACAGGGATACAGGGATACCTAGATACCGATATACAGGGATAAAAGGATACAGGAATACAAGGATACCGAGATACCTGGATCTACCGAGATACAGGGATACAAGGATAAAGGAATACAGAGATACAGAGATACAGAGATACAAGGATACAGGGAAACAAGGATGCGGGATACAGATTTCAGGATACCGGATACAGATTTCAGAATACTGGATACAGGATACAGATTTGAGGAAACTGGATACAAAAATGAGGGATATAGATTTAAGGATACTAGATACAGAATGTGATATTAGGATTTGAGGATACAGATTTTAGGATACGGGATATAGATTTGAGGATACCGGATACAGGTTACAGATTTGAGGATACTGAATACAGGAAGTGAGAACGATATTAGAACCTGTGAGTATATTTATACACCAGGAAATATATTCATAACCTTAATTGGAATTGGCAGCTCGAGACCAGGATTCCAGGAGAAAACTTAGGAATAAATCTAGAGACATTTGTTTCCTTTCTTACTCCGGGGAATATTAGGACATGGGTTATAATATGGGAGGACCCACCCCCCTCTCCCAGAAAGTTCAAGAATTAAGTTGGAACATTATAATATACTTCCATACTTATGCAGTTCTATGGAGAATTAACTGTTTTGTTTGATTTGATTTGATTTTATTGTTTTTAAAGCGACCTGGGCTGAAAACTTTAGAATGAAATATCCAGATATCCCGTCGAATAATTAATCTGGAGTTTAAATTCATGTGGAGAACAAGCAATATTTAATCTGGATATCAAGAAATTATCAGCTTCTCTGGATATTTCATTCTAAAGTTTTCAGCGTTATGTAATTTTAATTCTACATATTTTCCCTAGTTCGCCAATAAGTAATTTTTTAATTTTTTACAATGTTTTCAGCATTAGTGGAGGAATATAAATAATATGTTGAACCATCTTTACCAGTAGCAATAATAGAAAGGATGTTAGACAGTGGTGTATATTTTTAACATTTGTTATGATGGAAGTTAGACAGTGGTGTATATTTTAACAGTTGTTATGATGGAAGTTAGACAGTGGTGTAAATTTTAACAGTTGTTATGATGGAAGTTAGACAGTGGTGTATATTTTTCTATTAAACATAAACTGTAGGGCCGGAGTATCTATATATTGTATAAAACTAACCTTGTAAGATCTAATGGATAAACAGGTTGGTTAGCTTCTATTAAACATAAACTGTTGGGTCGGACTATCTATATATTGTATAAAACTAACATTGTAAGATCTAATGGATAAACAGGTTGGTTTGCTTCTATTAAACATAAACTGTTGGACCGGACTATCTATATATGGTATAAAACTAACCTTGTAAGATCTAATGGATAAACAGGTTGGTTAGCTTCTATTAAACATAAGGCTGACTCCATCAAAATCAAAACTCCAGTTCTTCCGATCCCAGCGCTACAGTGAACTAAAGTCGGAGCTACCGTAGCCGACTTCTCGCGCATTTCTCGTACATCATCGACGAATTCGACAAACTCGGTCGAATCGTCAGGAGTACCATGGTCGGGCCAGCTAAGGTACTGCATTTGAGAAACTAGTCTTGCGTCATCTAAACATAAACAAACAGATTACAGATTAACAAAACATCAGTGAAACTATTTTTTCTCCCATTCACCCCTCCCCCCCTCCTACTCGTATTTAAAGGACAATGTGCAGTGAATGTATTAATGTAGGCACAGTAATAGGTGTAGTGTGCACTGTGCTGTGAATGTATGAATGTATGAATGTATGAATAGGTGTATAGGTGTATGAATGAATGAATGTATAAATGTATGAATGTATAAATGTATGAATGTATAAATGTATAAATGTATAAATGTATGAATGTATAAATGTATGAATGTATAAATGTATAAATGTATGAATGTATGAATGTATGAATGTATAAATGTATAAATGTATAAATGTATAAATGTATAAATGTATAAATGTATAAATGTATAAATGTATGAATGTATAAATGTATGAATGTATGCGCAATGAGTGTGAATATTAAGGACCCAGGTTTGAATAGCAATTAGTAGAGATTGTAAGGGATTGTTCTCTAATACAGGGAGAGGGGATACACACGTCAAATAGATGGATCTGCTCGTATTATTGGGCAGATAGATAGATAGATAGGTAGATAGGTAGGTAGGTAGGTAGGTGTTTGGATAGATATGGTTGAATAAATAAATAGATATCAAGATGTTTAAATAGATCGATATTTATCTATCTATATGTTTACTAGTTTAAGCACACTTTTTATATAGAAAGACAGCTTGCTGTTTATATACAGAGCGTCCCATATCATATCGAATTATCTACAAGGTTTAACGCTGAAATATGCACTTAATACTTGAAAACCATAGTGTTTTCTGCTTTCAAATTTTAATAGTAGGCTTATACAATGTTTTAAATTAATTTAATCTTTCTAAATCTTCTGCTTAATCTTGAAAAACGCAATTTAGAGCTATAAACTTTCCGTATTGATGTCGGACACCCTGTAGTTTAACATAACTTTAAAGCTATATAAATAAACTTTAAGTTAGTTTGTCTGTTGTCCAATCATATCTCATAAACTCCTTAACCGATTCGCCGCAAATTTTGAATGAGGAACTCGGGAGAACCACGGGAATGTTCTCAGCTTGGGTTTAAACTTCAAGTTGATTGGGTTAACTTTGAAGGGAAAAAAACGGGCAAAGCTGTGTGCCAAAGCTATTGCTATCTTTTATATAATATTTATCACAAATATTGATGCGAGTTAACAACATCAATAAAACCAATAATATGTGAATAATAGTAAAACAAATCCGAACTGGGACTTGCGAATTTATTTGCACATTTGCCGATTGTAAACACGTGCAAAAATACCAATTTGTAAACATACTTGTACAAGAAAGGTTTCAATAAATTGATGTGACCGTTATTAAAATATTTACAATGATTGGACATTTTTGACTTTCTATCTTAATCTTATTAGCAATTTTTTAAGCAACACAAAATGTTTTTTAACTTATATTTTTCTTACTAAATAAATTGAGTATTTTCCATAAATTTAATTTTTCTTATCCCTAAATCTGTTCAACCTGATGGCGTGCAAACCTTTGATATTTTAAACTCAGTAGGTTTATTACCCAGCTTTTTACTTTATATCCCGGATGATCTAAATTATTTACCTGGCAGGTCAGCGTGAAGAAGGGTAAAGTCTCTGTACGCAAAACTATTTCTGATTTCCTCCCGTGTACATGTAACACTGATACTCCCGTACATAACAGTACTGCAAATATTAAATTTTATTATTTAGAAAACAACATTTTTTTGAGGGTCTTTATCATAATGAACATTTTTATCAAGATTATAAAATCCATTTTTAAAAAACTTTTACTCGTCAAAACGCGAAACAAAGTACTAAACTTTGAAATAGAAAAATCACTTATTTTCTACAACGATTTCTATTTACATTAACAAATTATTAAATACAAGTTTAGACTAATTAAAAGCATTTGATAATTCTCTAGAAAGTTTCTTGTTTTCTTAAAAATAAGTCATTTCGATTTATTCAAAAAGTTTCACGGTAATGCTTTCTGGGTTCATATTATAGAAGTTTGGGTCAACAAATCAATCAACCTATTCTGATTAGACGGGCCCAGATTGTATTATAAATTGTATGCTTTGTCATGCTTCGTAATAAATATGAATGCAAAAAGGATTCTAATAAAAATGCATTCAAAGACACAAATTTTACGTACGTACGTGTTCAGAAATTTGTCCGGGGGGGGCTTTTTAACGTTCCCCCCCCTCCCCCCCCCTATGATAACACCCCTGATCCCATGAAAAGGGATCACATGAAATATCAGTTTAAAAGTTATCGGACGGGATTATGAGAAACATTTCCCGGATTTTCCCGGGTGAAAGGGTAAAGTCTAGTATAAGAGGGAGCTCTGAAAGATATTTGTAAGGACGGATTTGAGGCGTGTGTATCTAACTGGTTTCTAAACCTTATCCAATTCAAAGTTTGACACATGTCTACAATATGAAAAGATGGAAGGGGAGAAATCAGAATAAAATTCTCTCTCAACCGTAAATGCGGAAAATTGGAACAGTGCATATATATCTAGGACAGTTAGCTCATTTTCTTGAGGGTGGAAGGGTCTATATTTTGAAGAATAACCCACCTCACTTGACCCAGGGGGTTAGCGTAGTGATTATAAAGGTTTTAAAGTTTAAAATAAAATAAAATTGGACTTCAACGGGCAAATTTTTCCCACTTTCAAAACAAAAATTATTTACACACATACAGTGATAAAAACACAAAAAATAATATTTTATAACAAAATATATGAGAGGGTGTTAGTTTGAAGCGAAGGACGATAAACCCTTCTGTTTAACGAGGCAAAGTGGAAAAGAGATATAATGATATATTTTAAAGAGGATGCAATGCAACACATGAGGATGAAAATGGGGCCACGCTTACCATTGTGATAAAATAAAAATAATGTTTGTTGGAACTATTTGAGGGCTTATAATCGGGCGAAATGGGGGGTTATAAATTTGTCGAGGAAGGACGGTAAAAATGTATGAAAGGGGTATTTTTTTAAGGGGGAAGAGGTATATCGAATTGGAAGAGAGATACATGTTTGGTGTGGGTAGGGGGGTAATGGGTATAAATGTATGAGCTGGAAGAGAGATACATGTTTGGTGTGGGTAGGGGGGTATAAATGTATGAGCTGGAAGAGAGATACATGTTTGGTGTGGGTAGGGGGGTATAAATGTGTGAGTTGGAAGAGAGATTCATGTTTGGTGTGGGTAAGGGGTATAAATGTGTGAGTTGGAAGAGAGATTCATGTTTGGTGTGGGTAGGGGGGTATAAATGTATGAGTTGGAAGAGAGATTCATAATTGGTGTGGGTAGGGGGGTATAAATGTGTGAGTTGGAAGTGAGATTCATGTTTGGTGTGGGTAGGGGGGTATAAATGTACGAGTTGGAAGAGAGATTCATGTTTGGTGTGGGTAGGGGGTATAAATATGTGAGTCGGAAGAGAGATTCATGTTTGGTGTGGGTAGGGGGGTATAAATGTGTGAGTTGGAAGTGAGATTCATGTTTGGTGTGGGTAGGGGGGTATAAATGTATGAGTTGGAAGAGAGATACATGTTTGGTGTGGGTAGGGGGTATAAATGTATGAGTTGGAAGAGAGATACATGTTTGGTGTGGGGAGGGGGGTATAAATGTATGAGTTTGAAGGAGAATGAGTACACTGCCTCTAAGACCTCTACGTGGTTAGAATACCCTTGTGTGTCCAGGAGGAATTATGTGTGTATGCTAATCATATGCAAATACTACCCCATCATCACATACACAATATATATATATATATATAGATATAAAATACGTATTACGTTTTATCATGTTATAATGTTTTATTGGGCTTTTCGCATCCTTGTTCTAGTAACAATTTTAACTTTTGAATTTGGTGGATTTTCTAAAATTTTAACAATGATAATTTTTTTAGGCAAATTTTTTTATTTCGACCGCCGTAAACAAATATCTTCCCTGGCATAGTTTCATGCAAGTTACTATACAAAAAACTGGGGACGATAGATGTTTATTGGATGCAGAACATGTGATAAAATAAGCAAGCGAAATAGATATCATTGGGCTTCGGTTCAAAATCGTTTTTGGATTTTTTTAGATTCTACAAAACTTTTATAGATATATACAATAATAAATTAATATAAAAAACTGAGACTACTCTGGTTGATTATTATAATTATTAATTTTGGAGGTTTTTGAAATTTTTTTCTTATAACACTTAATTTCGTATTTTGTTGTTATAAATAAATATTTATTCACTTGCTTACTAACGAAAAAACTAATAAAAAATAAAATAAAAATCTTAGTTTCCCAACTACTGAAAGCATCATTTTTCTTACAAAAAATTTAAATCAACATTTTTCTTTAAAATAAAGTTTAAACAGCGTAGAAAAAGATGTTTGGATAAATCCATTAGAATGTTCCATTCGGTTCCATTCGGTTGTCCTCAGACAGATATGTTTGAAATGTTTTTATAAACGATGTATATATATTCGAAATTGTGTTTCTTCAAGGAATATATTGATCTAGATCTCGGGTTAAAGCAAACTTAACCTTTCCTTATTTTAATTTGGAATTTAATGTTCTGTGTAACCTTGTTTTTCGGATTATTTTCAGGGGTCTTTAAAATAATAAAAATATTAAAATTTTTTTTGGGGTAAAATTACTTTCAATAAAATAATATTACTTCTTTGAATATTTGATCAATAGATATATAGATATATGAATAAATGATTGAATCTCAGAAAAAAAGGATGTTAAAAACACGGTAGACTTTAGAAAAACATTAAATATCAGAAAAATATATCACGAAGAGATTGGAGATCAGAAAGAGATTGGATTTCAGAATAAGATTGGATACAAGAAAAAAGTTAATATAAAAAGTAAAATGTCAGGAGAATAATAAATTTCACAAAAAGTTTTGATACCAGAATGAGAGTAAATACCAGAATGAGAGTGAATATCAGAATTAGAGTGAATATCAGAATGAGAGTAAATAACAGAATGAGAGTGGATATCAGAATGAGAGCGAATACCAGAATAAGAGTGAATACCAGAATGAGAGTGAATACCAGAATGAGAGTGAATACCAGAATGAGAGTGAATACCACCTCCTACCTATCAAGATCAGGCCAGTACTTGTGGCACTTGGCTCTGCCCCTCTCCACGACGGTAGTGAGCATGATGAGCAGAGGAATCTCGTGCTCCCAGACCATATACCAGAACTCAAGACAGGTGTGAGACAGGGGGCCCTGGAAAATTCGTTTATCATATTAGGGGGCCCTGGAATATTCTTTTATTATAGGACAAGGGGGCCCTAGAATATTCTTTTATTATAGGACAGGGGGCCTTAGAATATAATTTTATTATAGGACAGGGGCCCTGGAATATTCTTTTATTAGATTAGAGGACAATTAAAATGACATTACCTGAGTAGCAATATATCTATTGACTACCCCGCTGCCTGGAATATCGACTACAACATGGTTAGCGTTGATGTAGTCTCCGCTAGGACAGGAGGAGAGCAGGACTCTAGTTTGGTCATACGGAGATATATCCTTGTACCTAGAATACATTTTATATCAATCAATCAATCAAACTAACAATACATCAAATAAATAAATCTAACAATTAATTAATAATAATAGAAATAATAAGGATAATTATAAAGATGAACGAAAGGATTAATGAAAGGATAAAAGAAAGAATGAATGAAAGGATGGATGAAAGGATGATTATTAAGATGAATGAAAGGATGAATGAAATGATAAATGAAAGAATAAAAGAAAGAATGTATGAAAGGATAAATGAAAGAATGAATGAAAGAATGAATGAAAGGATGAATGAAAGGATGAACGAAAGTATTAATGAAAGGATGAATGAAAGGATGAATGAACGGATAAATGAAAGGATTAAAGATGAAAGAAAGGATGGAAGAAAGGATGAAAGAAAGAATGAATGAAAGGATGAATGAAAAGATGAATGAAAGGATGAGTGGAAGGATGAATAAAATGATGAATGAAAGGATGAATGAAAGGATGAAAGAAAGGATGAAAGAAAGGATGAATGAAAGAATGAATGAAAGAATGAATGAAAAGATGAATAGAAGGATGAATGAAAGGATGAATGAAAGGATAAATGAAAGGATAAATGAAAGGATGAAAGAAAGGATGAATGAAAGGATTAACTTTAGGATGAATGAAGGGTTGAGGGAAAGGCTAAATTGATCAGTCTTGCCTTGCATTAGCCTAGCGATTAAATTTGATCAACCGATCGATTAACGAATTAACAGATTAAATGAACAAAATAATTAATTAATCAAACATTATAAGCAGAATTATATTTAAAGCTGTGATTAAATGTATATTTAATAAAATCTTCTGTTTTACCAAGGAAATGAAAATTTTAGAAGCTCAACTTAGTGACGGAAATGAATTTCTGCGTTCTGTTAACTTATACCAAGAGAAAGAACGGAGAGGGGGGGGGGTAAAAACCACTAAAAATAGAAGAACCCAAATCTAAGGAAAAAAAGCTTAAAAGGAGAAAAGATTTATAGAATTCATAAAAAAGCAAAGGTTAGAGGGGAGGAGCCTAGAGATAGAACAGCGAAAGAAGAAAAAACGTAAAATTAAAAAAAAGGAAAACGTAAGAAAAGAATGAATAGGGCCAGGAGCAAATTGCATGACGGTAAAAAGAATTAACGAAAAGATATGAAAAAGAAATCTAATTTCGAGATAAAAATGATAAATAAATGACAACAAATCGGCGAGAAGCATATAATACAAAAATCTAAAAAAGTAAAGAATAGAGAAAAAGATTAAGAATAAATGAAATTAGAAGGCTGAAGGTGGGTTGGGGGTTGGAGTGGAACGCGTGTATAAAATCAGCGAAAAAGAAGAAAACTTAAAAATAAGAGTGAAAAATGCAAATTGAAGAAAACAGAACGGAAAAAAGAAATTACGAAATTATACAAAGAAGAAATCTTATAAAAATGATAAATAAATGAAAACATAAGTTAGAAGGTGAAGGGGGGGGGGGTTAGGGTTCAATATTCCATATAATTTGATACAGGGCTGGGTCAGATAACGGGAAACGGATATATTGTTAAAATTATACTCTACAGGGGACACTAATGCAAGGGGAAATATTAACCATCAATTCTCAAAAAAAATTCAAATATTTAAAATATAAATTTATCTCCCCCCCCCCCATCAAAAAATGAAATAAAAAACTTGGCTGTAGAATTTAAAATAAAAGACCCTGTTAAATGTCAAGAAAACCTATAACATATAGATAACATACAGACAAACAGACAGAAAACCAGCAAATAAACAGAAAGATTAAACGTACAGACATAAAACACTCAGACAAACAGAAACCGTAACACAAAGACAGAACACCAACAGAAAAACATCTAACAAACAAAAACAACCAGAACATAACAGACAGTTCACCATGCACAGACAAAAAACAGGACATGACAGACAATTCACCATTGACAGACAAAAAACCAGAACATGACAGACAATTTCACCATGCACAGAAAAAAACAGGACATGATAGATAATTCACCATGCATAGACAAAAAACCAGAACATGAGACAATTTACCATGCACAGACAAAAAACAACATGACAGAAAATTCACCATGCACAGACAATCCACCATTCAGAGACAAAAAAAAACAGGACATGACAGACAATTCACCATGCACAGACAAAAATACAGGACATGACAGACAATTCACCATACACAGACAAAAAAACCAGAACATAACAGACAATTTACCATGCACAGACAAAAAAAACAGGACATGACAGACAATTCACCATACACAGACAAAAAAAACCAGAACATAACAGACAATCCACCATTCACTGACAAAAAAAAACAGGACAAAAGACAGAAAGACTTTAAATGAAAATGTTTTCTGTCAAAAAAGTGGAATTCCTAAAATGATTTAACTCTTAAGACATAAATTAACATCAAGAGTTATTAATATTAATATTGATAAACAATAACAAAATATTGGTTTACAAATATTCAGGGATGTTGGAACGTTAAAAATATTTGTAACAAAATTATTCCAAACGACAGAAAGAGTCATTTCAAGATTTAATTCGAGCCAGAAAACCTAATTTAACCTAAGAATCAGCATATCTTTAAAGTTTCAAGTCGTCTTGACAGTATCATCCTTTGTGGGTAACCCTGTAGTTTAAAACATATGTTTAGGTGTATTTCGTGTACTCAAGTATAAACTGTTAATTCTGTGGATACAAGTGCTAGTTCAAAAACATGTGTTTGGGTGTATTTCGTGTACTCAAATATAAACTGTTAATTCTGTGGATACAAGTGCTAGTTCAAAAACATCTGTTTGGGTGTATTTCGTGTACTCAAGTATAAACTGTTAATTCTGTGGATACATGTGCTATTTAAAAACATATGTTTGGGTGTACTTGTGTACTAAAGTATAAACTGTTAATTCTGTGGATACCCTAGTTGAAAAACATATGTTCTGGTGTACTTCGTGTACTCAAGTATAAACTGTTAATTCTGAGGATACAAGTGCTAAGTATAAATATAAAGACAAACTGTGAGTTCTTTTATTATCNGTGTACTAAAGTATAAACTGTTAATTCTGTGGATACCCTAGTTGAAAAACATATGTTCTGGTGTACTTCGTGTACTCAAGTATAAACTGTTAATTCTGAGGATACAAGTGCTAAGTATAAATATAAAGACAAACTGTGAGTTCTTTTATTATCTCAAGTTGGATAAAATGGCAAACAAATTGCAAGCTCCAATGTTGATATTGCACACTTACTGAAAATTGCAACCTTCTATGCTTACAAACAAATAAACTATCCAACAAACAACCAAACAAGGAATATACCAACAAACAAACAACAAACCAAACCAATAAACCAACCACCCAACAAACAACAATCAAACACCCAAACCAAATAAACAAACAAACAGACAAACCTAGCAAACAACCAAACAAGATACAAACCAACAAACAAACAAAAAATTAACAAAAAAAACAAGACAAACAAACAAACAAACAAAAAACCAAGCAACGAAGCAACCAAGCAACGAAGCAACCAAGCAACGAAGCAACCAAGCAACGAAGCAACCAAGCAACCAAGCAAGCAACCAAGAAACCAACCAACCAACCAACCAACCAACCAACCAACCAACCAACCAAACAACCAAACAACCAAGAAACCAACAAACCAAGCAAGCAAGAAACCAACCAAGCAACCAACCAACCAAGCAAGCAAGCAACCAACCAACAAACCAAGCAACCAAGAAACCAAGCAACCAAGCAAGCAACCAAGAAACCAACCAACCAACCAAACATACAAACAAAAGAATAAATCTTTAAGAGAAAGGTTTGAAGAAACACTCCTCCAAAGATGAAACAACTATATTAAAGAGAAGGGACGAATCAGAACTTGAAAGGAAAACTTGGGAGGCTTGGACTGATGGAACAAATCTGTTTAGACTTAAGTCACAATAACTTAGGACTAGCTTCCTAAACTGGGATAGGAGGAAACATCTGGTAGATAATAGGAAAAGGAACTGGTAGATAATAGGAAAAGGATCTGGTAGATAATAGGAGAAGGAGCTGGTAGATAATAGGAGAAGGAGCTGGTAGATAATAGAAGGATCTGGTAGATAATAGGAAAATGATCTGGTAGATAATGGAAGGATCTGGTGGATAATAGGAGAAGGATCTGGTAAATAATAGGAAACAAATCTTGTAAATAATAGGAGAAGGATCGGGTAGATAATAGGAGAAGGATAAGTTAAATAATAAGATAAGGATCTGGTAGATAATAGAAGGATCTGGTAGATAGTAGGAGAAGGATCTGGTAGATAATAGGAAAAGGATCTGGTAGATAACAGGAAAAGGATCTGGTAGATAATAGGAGAAGGATTTGGTAGATATTAGGAGAAGGATCAGGTAGATATTAGGAGAAGGATCTGGTAGATAATAGGAGAAGGATCTGGTAGATAATAGGAAAAGGATCTGGTAGATAATAGGAGAAGGATTTGGTAGATATTAGGAGAAGGATCAGGTAGATATTAGGAGAAGGATCTGGTAGAGAAGGATCTGGTAGATAATAGGAGAAGGATCTGGTACATAATAGGAGAAGGATCTGGTAGATAATAGGAGAAGGATCTGGTAGATAATAAGAGCAGGATCTGGTAGATAATAGGGATCTATATAGATCTAAAAAATTGGTGTAAGATGAAAAGATCTAACAACTTGTCTCTGGTCCCCTCTCAGGATCTGAATTAGAATCCATTTGCAATAGAAGATCTAACTAACAACTTGTCTCTGGTCCCCTCTTAGGATCTGAATTCCAATCCATTTGCAATAAAAGGTCGGACATGAAGTCTATGAAGTGGATTGGTGGCACTTAACAATCTGAATAGGAAATACATGTTGATATATACCAACATTTGGCAACACCATACTACCATTCCATACTATCCAATAAGCAATATAGGGGAAACCAAAAAAGAAGGTTTAAAAATTAAATATATTTTTTCCT